CCAGAGTCACCTTCCCCTTTTACAGCTGCTAGTAGAAAAACTAGTCAAATCCACTCCATCTCCTCAAGCCTTCTTGTACTTTGTTTCCTTCTGATATCCTGGGAAGGGAAAACAGTTTCTGTTGCTAGAGTCAGCCCTCCAGTGAATGAAGAATTAGCCATTGAAGTAAAACAATAGGGAGCAGGACTTCTGCCAAGGAGGCAGAGGGCAGATTCATGGCTGAATTTTCATAGGGGACACATGCAGAATCTCTGAATTTTGCTAGGTTATAGATACGATTTAATTCATGAAAGATGAGCCATACTGTCAATATAATTCCCCTCAGCTATGGGCAGAGTTGAAGGGAAACATTTTGCTTACAACTCTCATCATTTTAACACCTCTTTGCACAGGAAGATTACAATTCATTGAGCCAAATGCAGTAAAATAACTGCTTCTTCCCTCAATCTGAATAGCTGTTTATTCCAGTATATTACCACTCCAAATGAATTTATCCTCTCTTCCCCAGATTTTTTCCTATAGTTCATAAGAGGACTTGAATAAAAATGAATCTTAGTCATTTCCATACACATCATTTCTCGGTAAGAAATGAAAGCCCATGTGCTCTTTTGGCACAGGACTCCTTGGCATTAAGATGTATTTTATAATCTATTTTATTCCAGTATTGACAACAGCTAGTAGTAGCAATCAAATAAAATGCTTCCAAAACTTCCTAAAGATAGCCAGAAATTTATCAATAAGTGCTTACAGCCATGGAGGAGTAGGGGGCCACAGTTTTCCACCAGGTGAATAGACTCTGTCTGCCACTTTAGACTGAGACTCCAGAAGAGCATCTTGTTTCTGTGTCTGGCTTTAAAGCCTGTATGCAAATACAGCAGTCTGGACTCTCTTGCCTGACAGAAGGCATGGAGCAGACAGCTTTTATGCTTCATTAATTTATTTTTTAAGCATTCATAGCCAAATTTATTTCTGTAGCTAGCACACAGTGGTTCCAGGGCCAAGAATCCAGACACTGGATTCTTCACTTGAGTTCAATCACTATCTTGATTGTGCCACTTATAGTGATAGCACCTCAGAATGTCAGAAGTGTAAGGCAGATCTCAATATTGTAGTATACATCTGCTTCTGTATGATGCTTTTATTTCCCTGTTCTTTAATCCTTTGAAAAACAACACTTTGTTCGCTTCTTTATTTCTCGCAGTTTTTAAAATTATTTTTGTTAATTTGCTCCACATGCCATCACAATTTTTTCATCTAAATGTGTGAAGGTGAAAGTAAAGTGAACTCTAAATAAAAGCAAGTTACAGTTCTCTTTAGGTACCCTGATTTAAGGTAAGGGACATTTGAAAGAAAGTAGATACCGTTTGCAGCTTGAACTATTGGACAGATGACCCACATTTATTCTTGGAGTGTCACTTGTTAAATACTGTTTATGAAATTATTCTAAACAAAATATCAGTTATAAAGATATCTAGAGGACAAAACCAGCAAAACTGGTCTGGAAGAGAACAAGTTCCTCTGTGGGACTCTGATCAGGGCAGAGACTGAAGGAAGCTGCAGGAAATGTCCGTACACACAGTCAGGTTGGCAAGTACCCACATGCTGTGTCGTCATTATTTTCTTGGCACCACAGCAGTTATACAAACATGACTATTCACTTTGTACAATGCAAAGTAAATTTTACACTGAGCTTACTGATTTGTGATTTATGCTATTCAAAATGAAATTTTGTCAATCCCATGAGGTGCATATGTACATTATTTCCTTCAAAGCAGCATGACTTTTGAATAAGTTACTGTCCTTTCCAAAGATCTTCTGCAAGTGTTCTACAAAGAAACCTCCTTTTTTGCATCTAAGAGCAAGAATTCCCCTTCTGATGGCTGGGTTTCATCATTTTTGCTGCAAGCAAAAAGGTGTTCCAGTCAATTAAGGTCAATTTCTTTTTTTCTTTTTTTTTTTTTTTTTACAATCAAACTACATTTCTTCATACTGAAATGGAGAATAGCAGATACTTTTCTTACAGTGAAATAAGGAAAGTACCTCTGGGCACAATGGGGATGTTTCTGTGATCACAACTTACTCTTGTGATGGAAAGTAAAAAGTGCAAGTTGGTGATTGTTGGGAGCAGATACCTCCAGGTGCGAGACTAACACAAAGAAATAACTTATTTCTTCTCCCATTGTCTAAATCACAATCATAGACATTAAGTCATGGTATATTTATTTCTCGGTCACAAAAAATGGTATACTGAAACTGCAAAATACCGTCTGGAGTGGGTCCAGCAGGGAGGCTGGGAGGTAGGCAGCAAGGGTCTTACCTCTCCTAACTTGCCTCATTTCTATAGTTAGCCTCTCACCATCTGCTCTTGGGAAGTACCAGAAGCAGTTGATCCTACCTAAGTCTGGCAGCTGGTAAGGATTTTTTCTCCATTTTGAACACTGGTGCAAATAAAAATAGCAGAGATAGCAACAAAACTTCTAAAAACCAAAACCAAACAAAACTACCACTGTAAATTTTAAATGCAAGCTATAATTTTAATATCAAAATTAAGTGACTCAAACTGTTAAAAAAAAAAAAAAAAAAAAAGTTATTTCAGAAAGAAATCTCTGAGAGTGACTGCCCCAGACTCTGGGCAACCAGCCCCTCAGTCACCTCTCCTGTTCCTGTCAGAAGTTGGCACATCCACATGAGCCTGCCTGTCCCCTCCACCTCCACTTTCCCAACCACTCTCAAGTGCCACCACTCAAATGCCTTTGGAGAGTCCGACTGAGAGCCTCTTATCACTCTCCCTGCTGGAAACTAGATAAAAATATTTTTTTTTCTTGATGAGCCCTTTGGGTTTTTTCCGTTTTGGTTTGTGGGCCCTATAAAAAATTGGAGGTAGATCTTTACAATGCAAAGCTGGGCCACTGTGGGCAGCCCTGGACCTGTCAGCCTCCTTAGCAGCCTGGAGCTGGAAACACGGCCTGTACAAAGCACTCTACCCGAAAACCTTGTCATTTCAGCACTTTATTAATTTGATATGAAGTCCCACTGCCCCACTGATTAAGGATCACGGGGACCAGAAATTAACCCTGATCATCCAAGTCCCCTCTTTGTAGACACGCCTGTTGCCATGGCAAAAACGGGCCTTTTCCCTCATCCTAGCTAAATTGGCTTTTATTTTTATTTACTGACCAGATTACAGGCCAAAACTCTGTTCTGTTTATGTTAATTTACTAATTATACTTTATTTCTACTTTACAGTTGACATAGGGCGTGATGAAACACGGTTCTGTCTCTTTCTCCTCTAGACGGGCTCTTCTCAAACCTTCTCCACCCCTGGGCCCCGGGGTTTGCCGCCAGGGCCAGACCCCGCACAGGCTTCAGGATGCAGGAGGTGTAGTTACCCGGCATGGCTGAGGTCCAGGGGCATGTAGGTGTTGGAGGGCAGGAGTGACGGAAACAGCGCCTCTGCGCCAAGGAGGGCAGGTCTCCGCGCATCCTGCGGGAGCAAGGCTCTGGCTCTGATGTGTGACAGCCAGGGACTGCCCAGGCTGCTGCTCAGCTGCAGGTGAAGGAAGGCTGTGAAGGAACATGGCAACTCCAAGAAGAGCAAGGGACCTTATAAAGAGATTGGTAATTTTAATAAGGGTTACGAGAGAACGCAAGCCAGCCACTGTGCTGAGTCTGATAGGCATGTGTACATATGCCAAGAGAAAAACTTCCTTGTCTAAAGGAACTTTGAAATACTACACAGGGAAGGCAGTTATCTAACCACTTCTTCATACTTTCTTCACTGCTGATGCTGCAGAGGAAGTTAGGCAACAAAACCTATCATCTCAGCATTGCAATGTTTGCAACACCCTGGGTAACTTCCAGCCAACACAAGAAGCTGCACTTCACCAGCACACACGTTTCTGTAAACAAGCACCATTAGCAGCCATGGAGCTTGCAGGAAAAATGGAGATATATTGAATATCCCATGTCAGAGCAGAAAGCAGTTCTATGTGCAGAAAATAAAAGAACTGTCCTGTTCCTATTATGATGCTTAAAATCTTGACAGGTATTTGCAATTTCCTTTTAAATTAAGTTTTGCCAGAGGAAAATTTGGCCATAGTAAATGCAGTTTCATTGCATCTTACCCTGCAGAGATGGATTATCTGTAAACCTCTAAAAAGATCTGTACTCCTTTACATCTATTTAGAATTATTTTTTTAATTGACTGCATTAGGCATCTCTTGTTTTCTGGGCCATGAGCACTCATGAAGTATAACTGCATTGTTTTCTCTAAGCAGAATTTAATCCATCATCAGTAGTTACTTATAAATTCACCATTAAGTTAATTGGAGTATAATCCAGATAAACAGGCTCTTTCCAAACATATTTTGTAGTACCAATGTTTTCACACTCCTTGAGCTTCCCTCTGGCCCATGAAGTGCTCCAATCTGCAACCTTCTTCCTATGCTCAGGGACCACATGCACACTCCCACAGCCTAGCTGGTTTTAGTAAAATAAAAGAAATCATTATTCCTGGCTAGTATTGATTAAGTATCCATGGTAACAAGAAAGATTCTGGGTTCTGCTGATCTTGCTTGAACTTTTGTTGCCAGCTGGCCCCAATCTTACGCTTTAATTTTCTATGAACTGACACTAAGTTCAGACATTTCTGTTGGTTTCCATGCAAATATTTAATATTTGCTACTGTTTTTTCTTTTCACTTTTGCTACTCAGTGTTTCCCCCAGATATGTTTGATGGGAGCTTGCTGACCTGGCAGCAGTAACCTAAAACACATTATTCTTTGTAATCTTATTACAATATATGTCCAGTTCTCATTTTTGCTCAAGGAAGGACTTTTTTGTTCTGTTTTGCTTTAGCACAAGGAGGCCACTACTCTGAACTGTGCCTGCTTCTCTGAATAGTTGCAGATAACCATCTCAACACAAAAGAAAAAAATGCAACAAACCCAACCAACTAACAATGCCTTAAAAACTAGCAGCTTTTTTTTTTTTTTTTTCAGGAGAACGTGTCCAGAAGACTTCAGTAAAAAATGCTTTTCTATGTATTACTCTTTCTTGGCATTGTCTCTCTATGGTGGCATTGGAAGGCAAGAGACAGGATGAAGGTTACAAATCTAACTGGAAAATATATATTCATCACTGGATGTGACACAGGATTTGGAAATATGGCAGCAAAGATTTTTGATAAAAAGGGATTCCGTGTTTTTGCCAGCTGTCTGACTGAAACAGGAGCCAAAGAATTAAAAGCTGTGACCTCAAATCAGCTTCAGACAGTGCTGCTAGATGTTAGAGATTCAGACAATGTTAAGAAAGTGGCTGCATGGATCAAAGCTGAAGTTCAGTCAGAGGGTAAGTGCCAGGATACGCGTCTTTAAAAAAAAAAAAAAAAAGCAGTAGAGTGTTACTGAAAATACCATGCTATGTTCACAGCTGATTTTAATTTACACTTTACAAGTGTGTGCAGATGTCTTGTCACCTTCCAGAAACATGGAAGAAGATGTCACTAGAGAAGTGTTTTATACATCTAGGCAAATAAATGTTTGGGAATGTGCTCAAGAAGTCAGGCTTATTGATACATCATTGTCACAACAGGAATCCAATTCCTGAAACCTTCACTGGGAATGTTTGCACCCACATGCGTATCTGGGTTATGGCATGAGTGCTCAGCACCTCCCATGCTCTGCTACCCAGCTACGGAACAAATTATATTAAATCTGTTTAGAAAGCTTAAAGTTTTTATTTTAAAAATTGAATATATGTAATAAATGACTTGTAAGGAATGACTATCAAAAGCAGAAGTTATATATGAAGTATATTGAATAAATCTGAATATAACCATTATAGAATATTGCTTACAGACCATGTGGAAAATAGAAAAATCCCATATCTCTAACCCAACAGGTTGTGTAGGACAAGATGCTGCTGGTGTTACTGATGCTAATTGATTTCAGTAGGAGTGGTATTGCAATAGATTTTACAAAGGTCCAAGCCTATGGGCTGGAATCTGCCAGTTTTGAGTCTTAAATCTCATCTAGTATGATGTGCAATTATACTTAATGCTAAATTCCTATCTCCATTTAACCTTTCATCTCCATAAAATTGCTTAGAAGTTGCCAAATTGCCTCTTTTTTTTAAACTGTGCTTAGTTTCAGGCCAAAAGTGATTTTTTTCCCCAAGAAAAACTATGAGTAAGGTCAGATCAGCAAAAGTATTCATTCACACAACTCTAACTGCTGGTGCAAAAGAAGAACTGGTTTTACATTTTTCTGTTTTCTCTTCCCACTTCTGAGTGCTCAGAAATGTTTTTCAAATCAATCTAGTATTTTTTTCCTGCCTCCACCTCATTTTTTGGAGCTGGTTGCTCATTTAAAAAAAAAATCCTTCCCATCCATTTGGGGCATGTCAGTCAATATGAGTCATAAGTGCAAAAAAGTCGGGGGTGGGGGGAAAGAATAACTGTCACACAGTTCCCATGTTGTTTTCAAATCTTTGAGAAGGATTTTTAGATTTTTTCTGTAATCAAGAGTTGTTCTTTATTGTCCTGGCACCTCAACCATCTCAGAACCAGAGCACACTTACCTGTGTTTCAGGACACTGTACCTGTACCAAGGACCAGGTCTATTTCTTACACATCTCCTGTCACTCAATACAGTTGATCTTTGCCATACCTCATCTTCCTCTACTGCTCTTTCTCCCACAAAATGCCAACACCACCCCCTGCCAAAATGCTGTGGCAAGGGAAGACTACAGAAAGGGTGATGGAAAGCATGATGATAAAACCTGGACACTGAGAATAAAGCTAATACTGCAGGACATTCTTGAGCAATTCCTCCAAATGTTCATTGCCTTCTTGGTCCCTGATTTTCTGTGGTCACCCAGTTCAATTAATCTGACACATCAGGTGAAAATTTCCTTCTCGACTTTCTTCTTCTGTTTTCCCTGCAGGTCTCTGGGGACTTATCAATAATGCTGGGATTATGGGGCCATCAGTTCCTACAGACTGGTTGGATATTGAGCACTTCAGAGAACCAATTGAAGTTAATTTAATTGGACTCATAAATGTTACAATAAATATGCTTCCCTTGATAAAAAAAGCAAAGGGAAGGGTAGTGAATGTATCCAGTGTTGGAGGTCGCCTGGCATTCAGTGGTGGAGGCTATTTTCCTTCCAAGTTTGGGGTAGAAGGATTTAATGACAGCTTAAGGTATGAGCCTCACTATGAGGAAAGACCACTCTTTTTTCCCTAAGGTCATGCAGAACAGGAGGTGATTTACAGTCCTGGCACATGGTATAAAATTGAAAAACATTAGATGCTTTGGACTAATTCTTCTTAAAATTTCTTTTGCTCAGCAAGATTATGACAGTTTTGAAATGGTACAAAGCCTGCTGAGCACACAAGCTGTCCTCAGGTATTTTCACAGTGTAGCCAGTACTCTTACAGATTCACAACTAACCTATCTTAATGTGCACAGAGGCCTTGTTGCAGAGGAACCTCCACTTAAGTGAACTGAAATATCTTTGCAATATGAATCTAATTCTCCTAATTAAAAAGTGCACCTAGAAATTTCCAGCAGCCACCCATCCAGAAAAAATACATAGCATGACTTATTGCACAATTATAACTTTTGTCCAAGCTTTGTTCTCCAAAGTGTCTTCTCTTAATTATACTGATCATTAGTGAGATCTAGAGAACATAGCAAACTAATTCTGGAAACTACCATGGCTGCTTCTTGTAAAACAGATGGGGATTGATTTGTGTGCCTAAATATATAGGAACATTTTAGATACTGGGACACTCACACAGGGCTGACAGATGTGAGAAGGGGCCAGAAGGAACTGTACGTATCTGGAGTATGAGTCAGAGGTCAAGAGGGAATCACCAAGACATATAATGGCTCTACATACTTGCATTTAGGCAGCCAGCTAGTCTTACAGACAAGTCAGATGACTAATGAGCTAGTGCAAGGTGAACCAGGCTGTGAAATATCCTGTGCCAGCTGCTGCACGGTCACTGCCTGTGCATGTTCTCACTCTGTGAAGCAGGTAAGATAGTTCATCCCTCTCATTTAGGGATAACAAGCTGGAACTTCACAACCACGAACAAACCTCACAGTATTTGTGTGCTGGTATGCCATGTAAAGACAGAAATAAATGTGTTAGTACAGCAAAATATCCCACAATATTAATATCTAATGCAATTAAATCTTTGGGCTGTCTTTGCAGGAGAGATATGGCAGCTTTTGGAGTTAAGGTTTGTTGCATTCAACCTGGACTGTTTAAAACAGCATTATCCAATCCAGCAAATGTTATGAAGGAGAAAGAGGTTATTTGGAATAAGCTTTCCCCTGATATTAAAATGCAATATGGAGAAGACTATTTTCAGAAAGGTGAGGCACTTTGCAGATATTTGTGTCAAAAGCAGCAATGCATTTCTTGCTGAGAAAGCCTTGCAAAGTAGCTTTATATCTTCTAATCCTTCTGACTTTTTGGAAGGACTGTGATGCGAAAAGCTACTCTTCAAATGCATCTGCATCACAATATGTCTATTCACACAAAAGACTTGTTCTGGGAAGCTTTATTCAAATCTCGGTTAAAGATTAATTATTCCTGTTGGCATGAAGCTTTTGGTCAAACTCCCAAACAGAAACACTTTTATCTGATGATGCAATCAATGTACTCGATGTGGTTTTCTATCATTATTGTTTATTTATTTAGTAATCAAATAGGGATCAATTCCCTTTGCTTCTGCTAGCCCCAGTGCTGATGAAGCCATTCAGGACCAGTCTGACAGACACTTGCTAAACCTGCTTGAACTGGGGCTACTGGTCTTTTGATCCTTGGACTTTCTTGTCCCTCAAATTTCTTCTTTACAGTTGTGTTTTCCAACTTTCCACAAAGGAATTTCCTTACTACAAGAGGTTCATTTAAAGCTACAGCATTTCTGTTTCCCCTTGCCTCTCATATAGTTATGTTTTTTCTGAACAACTGTCAACTCTGGTTGCCTGTCCTCAGACCATACAGGCCCAGTTTTGCCATGACTGTTCCACAATTAAGTGTAACTAGACTATCCTTGGGGTCAACTATATCACTAGGTCATTATGGATGGGCACTTGTTTCTCAAACTGCTACAAATTCTTGTTTAGGGAGAAACAAGAAATACCAATTTCTTAGTGAAATTGCACAGATCAGTGTGTGAGGAATAGTTAAAAGTCACCTTTCCAGTTTGTCACTAAATGATCTTTTTTTTTTTTGAGCTTTACAGATACAGTGAAGAAACAAAAACTCTCCAAAATCTGTCTTAACAAGGACATTTCTCTGGTTGTTCACTGCATGGAGCATGCCCTAACAAGCCTCCATCCACGTACTCATTACGTCATTGGGCAGGATGCTAAGTTGTTTTGGAATCCCCTCTCAAGAATGCCAGCAGTTATACAAGACTTCCTATTGCTGCAGAACAGAGCAGAGCTTGCAGTCTCCCATGCAAAGTAAATATTTGCCAGTATACCCTCCATCACATAGAAGGCTGATTCTGTAAAATCATATCTTTTATATCAGCATGATACAAACTATACATGAAATACACATTTAAATGTAAGAAATATATCTTTTACTCCAATATCTGCTACTATTAAAAAAATTACATTAGTTCATTTTTAACATGTAAATTGAAAAGAATAAATGAACTATTAAACTTTCATAAATGACTGGGATTTTTCAGTTTCTTCATCTTTAAAATGTTTAGGTAGAGAACCTCTGAAGGCTCCAGTTGTCACAAAGATCCATGAGAGAAAATTATCCCAGGAAAATAGGGAATGTGCCTTTAAGGTCCTACAGCAGGAAGAGTTTGGTCATCTTAGGCTGGGGAGGGAAGGGAAACAGGGCGTTCCTCTGGGAGAAGTGAATTCTTCTTACAATATTAACTAGAAAGGAGGGCAGAAAATCCTCCTCCTGCTTCTTTAGCAGACACCCCTATTGAGTTTTGAGGTCAAGGAAACTGTGGTTGTCTTTACCTGGTACAGTCCTAACAAGAATGCAAAATAAAGTACCCAAGTGATTGAGCTGGTTGGAATTCAAACCCCTTCTGACTTGCAGGACTTTGCAAGGTTTGGGTGACACATTTTCCTGGTCAGCATGCTAAATCTTGAGGATCAGAAGTCCAGATCTACCCCTCTCTTGTAAAGGATCTGTAGCTACAAACATAGACTGTGGATCCAATCACAGGGGCCCAATACCTGCAATTAAGGTAGTGAAGAACTATGGGGGTTTTTAATTAAAACCAAACCAAACCAACCAACCAACCAACCCAACAAACAAAACCAACAAAAAACAACAACTGATCTTGCAAGACTTCAACTCTGGGAGCTATTTCTTGGAATAAAAATAATAGCCCTGCATTTTGTGAGATGCTGAGTAATCCCTGTGGAGAGGTGCTGCTCTTGTTCAATTCCTGACACAATTGCCTGTTAAGACCCAGCTCCACTGGAATTAATCACAGCAAAGTGCTTGAGAACTGAAGAGACCCCGCATGAGTCTGCAACTGCACATTGCTCGGGAAGCCATTTCTCACTGCCATGGAAACTACTCAGCAATGAAAAAAATGCTTTTCTCATGATGGTGAATTTGCTGTGACATGGATCAGGCTAAAGAGCAAGTTACCCAGTGGCTATCCAAATAGTGCTGGTTTTCAATTTAGTTTCTATGGAGCATGCAAAGCATCAATTTTATATTTCTTAGTGCTTAGGCTTTAGTGGGGTCATTTAACTTGTATCTAAGTTATCTGAAAACGTTACTCCTTCTAGAGCAGGTTTGGGGTGAATACCTCTTACCTGGCTACTCTTACTGAAGTATCGATGGCACTGTTGTAGTAGCTTTCATTTTAAAACCAACTTTATGGAAATAAAAGTGACTGAAAACCAAGTTTTCTTTATTTAACATTTAATCCAAAGGCTGTTGTGTGGCTGTCTGGTGAGCTAGTAGCTTCCCTGTCACAGTCTGCATGAGCTGTCAGCTTTCCAGGCAAGATATTGGTCAAGCCCAGCCAGTGAAACTCTTGGCTTCGCAGAGCAGGCAGCATTGGGCCCTAGAGGTGTGAATGTTGTCCTCTGAACGTAGCACACAGCCCTGGTGTCATTTCACACAGAGCCTTTCTAGAAACTGAAGCACTTTTTTTCCCCCTACAAAGACTACTCAGCCAAAAGTTATTAGGGAAACAAAGAAAATATGAAATGACACTACTTACTCTGATCTTTATCTTTAGAAATTACAGTTTGGCTTGTTTAATTCAGTCTTTTTCAGACCACAGGTATATTGTCAGCTGTGCTGAGAGACCCTACCACTGTGAATGTTAATATTTAAAGGAAAATACAAACAGAATGTGGGACAGGGCATGCTAGCTGTAATATATTATTTAAATTAGAAATGCAGCAAAACCATCAGCTGCTCAATGTATTCCTTCTCACTGTATGGAGGGCCAGATTCTGCTGGAATTTTCTCTCCTGGAACCAGATGCTTCCTTTACTCAAATGCCAGCAACAAAAGCCTTCTGGAAATGAGCAAACCACAGTGTGCTCTGCTGCGGCTATCAAAATCTGTCCTGCTCACAGGACTGTATGAGACACGTGAATATTTAGACATCTGTTTTTAGGGACTAGAAGGGACTTTTCTGGGAGAAGACCCATGTCTTCCATAAGGTCAGAATGTCCCGGGGGACTGCACCGACAGGGCCTGCCTTCAGGTAGCTTGTTAGATCCAGCACACAAAGGTGCACTTCACAACCTTCACTTGTCCAGCAGGAATAACGTCAGCTTCTTGCTTTTCACTCGAGAGCCAAATTTTCCTCTCTGGTGTTACGCTTCAAGCACAGTAATTTTTCCACACCCTTTCTAGGAGTCGGGGATCTCATAATGAAATACACCTAAGGAGTCAATGGGAAATCAGTCAAGTGCTGCTTTCTGCAGATGAAAGACTCTCTAATGCCCAGCTCTCTAAAGGAAAGTTACATATGGAGTTCATATATTGCTTATGTGGTTTCTCTTCCACTAAGCTCCCTTCCATGCTGTGCTCTAAGCAAGTCAGAGCATCCCCTGTGAGAAAGGGAACTTGTTGAAAAAATGCCCCATTTCCATGTTTTCTGAGATGTTAAGCAGGATCTATTCAACTTTCTGAAATTATTTTCTACAGTTCAAAAGCAGTTTGCTGAGAAAAAAAATTCAGTAGTAAAGAGAAGTGGAAACTCCTTTTATGCTTTTCTCTCCTATATTTGTGTGTCAAAGGATTGCTACCTACGATAGCAGGACTCCAGACCTGACACTGCTGGAGGAATGTTCCCCTGCGATGGGCTTTGCGTGCTGGTGGAGTGCTGGTTTTGGTTATTTCAACCACGCTGCAGAGCCTGCTGTTAGAATCGAGCCAGACAGGACTAGGCAGGCCCAGCAGGCATGTCTGCCACGCTTACGCTGGAGACAAAATTTCTGCCAGCCAACTGTCGAATCCTCAAGTCTCCAGCAAGCTGCGCACATCTGGCTGCCCCGAGTGCTCAAAGTGCAGGAACAACCAACACAGCAGCTCGGGCTGGTGTGGCACTCAGTGGCAAAAGAAGCAAGAATTTCCAGACCCAAGCCAAAATGAGCAGGGAGAGAAACTGGAGGGGGAAGAGCTGCCCACCAAGCAGAGGATGAACTAACAACTCTGCAGCTCCTGGCAGGGAGCGGCCAGACAGGTGTCACCAGCCCAGCTGGGACCGGCTGCCATTGCTGTGGTCCGCTCCACCGAACGGGGCCAGGTCACTTCTACCTTCATCCTACCACCTTACTTGGTTTCCCCAGTTATAATTTCCTTCCCATTCAGTTAGTTTCAAGTAAATTTTCATAAAAAGCTTATTCATTCATTCTGCTGTTGGGAACAGTCTTTGCCCAAGCCTCCTCGCTTCCTGCGGCATCCAGCAGCGCACAGGTTGTGTGAATGGGGGGTTCTGCTTACATGTTTATGCAATAGCACTCTGAGCTGGATCAGAAGTGCTCAGCAGGCCAGGGAACTCTGGGCCAGGGAGCAAGCAAACAAGCAGACTCATATGTTAGAGTTTTTTTCCCATGCAAACTGTAGAGTTTCTGTCTGCACAGTTTGTAGAATTTAAGATTTTGTTTGAAAAACATTGCTTAGTTACTCAGGCAACTGATTTGTTTCTAGTATCAAAAAGCTTCTCCTAGACTAGAAAAAGTTATTTAATCCCTGAAAGTTTTCACACACAACAATGCATTTTAAAAGATTAAGTCATATCGTTAATAACTCGCTTATATGCAGGTGAAAAGTTGGAGGTCTGAACCAAGCTCTGTTAAATCAATGGAAAGATTTCTGATGGTTTCAAGACAAAGCACATATCAGTCCTTCCCAGCTGAGTAGATTAGTTCTCCCTAATGACTCTCAACAGTCCCCCAGGCTCTGTAGATTACTATATACAAGGCAGCAATGCTTATATAACATAGGTAGGATAGGCAGCCACAGAGCATATACAGAAGATTAATGCCAAGTACCTAAGGTAGAAGAATCACAGCACAAGTTGTTATCAACAGCAGGGAAAGGGGCCATGCTTGTCAGCCAACGTACAGCTATCAGAAAGCACCACCAGATGCAGAATTTACAGTGAGATTTTTGGAAACTATCACCATGCAGGTCTTGGTGCACAAGCTTCAGAGTTTGACTTGGGCTGTTTCTATGTTCTGACACTGGAAATAACCGGTGAAGGCAACTCAGGAGCACCTGGAGGTATAGACTGAGCTTGCAGATGTCTCCCTAAAATGTGAGTAATGGCACAAAGACAGAACTCGTGTCTATCATTATAATGAGCAGTACACATTCTATGAATTTGCAGGATAGCTAAGAGAACAAATTAAGCACTTGCTTTTGAGTGCACAGGCAAGAGAACACGCAGTCACCTCCTTTCCAGGATGATGTTAACAATTGTTGCTTATCTAAGTATGTGCAGGGTCTAAATAAAATGCTAACTCAGAAATGTTCTTCCCAACATCTGGCATCTTTCCCTACTCCTTTATTTTCAGTTACTGGGTCAGTCACCTAAGAGTTTACAGGGTTTTATTTTCCTGGGTTTTTTACCGATGCTGTGGTAAAAATCTGAAGTGCAAGCCATACAAGGAAAGATACAATTATGCAGAGAAATCAGCCCCCATTGTACCAGACTACATTCATCTCCCTGCAAAATGCTGAGCAGGAGAGTTTGAAGATGTATTTCTTTTACGGTGACATATTAATGAAGATCTTAAGTTATCTCTTGACCACCAAATTGAATTAGCATACTGACATTTTTACACAGCATATGAAAAAGCACTCCTTTTCCACGAAACAAAAGCATAAAGCCCTGCACATGCAGGAATAGCTCACCTAAGAGTGGGAGATAGGATGTGTTTGTGCCTGCATGTTTGTTCAATTTGTTAACTGAAGACCAGGGGTTTTGTAGCTCTGGCAGGATGACATATGGTTAAAGTTTGTACTTCCTAGGCCCTGGAGAGCTGTCGGGTGATCTGTTGGGAGTATTATCTGACACATCTAAACTTTCCACTGAGTGCTACGTGAGTGCTGGTTTTGAAGAACCCCATTCTCTAAATTTCCTCTTGGCAGATCCTCAGCATGCCTGGCAAGTCACTCTAACCCATTGCAGAGCACTGACTTCTAGAGGTTTGCCCTGCCAGCGCAGCGGTGGATGAAGGAATCCAAAGCACACTCAGACCCCAAACTTCACCCCAGTCTGAGGTTCTTTGGCTCAACTATCAAAGCAAACTTGCTGTGGGAGTAAAACAGTAACACTCTGCTTCAATACAGTCTAATGTGCTTCAGTTTCTTTTAGTGCAGAGAAGCAGAGGGATGCTGTATTTTGCAGTCATCTAAGGAACTTAAAGGGCTCTTGGTGTAGTCATGCCGCTTTTCTCTAAAATCGATTGCTTTTATAATGGCACTTGTCCAGGCGTAAGAAGGCAAGTGCTACCCCAGGAGTTCTCAATTTGCCAGATAAATATCAAAGTTTTAATAGAAAGTAGAATTTGCTTTTAGCTATTTACTGGCTATATTAGTAATCAGAATTCAATATTTATGACGATATATCAATACTCTTGAAATATCATGCTGACATTTTCTCTGGAAACACTCTGCCACTCCAGGCAGCTATTTCAAAATCAATATGCCTCTGGAAGACAAGTGGCTTTTTAGTGCTCCACAAATATCAAACAAGAAGTATTTTGCATAACATTGTACATTCACAGAACTAGACAAAGTCCTTGAAAGAAAACTTTAACTGAGAGTAGTCCCTTTGATTCCGACCCCAGACTCCTTCCAGCAGCAATATCATCTAGCAGAATAAATACTGGCAGGAGGCTCCAGCAGAGCAAAACCCACCATGATGCTCAGCACCGCATGTCTGTGTGTTATCAAAGGAGGAGCACTGGTACTTGGGGAGAACTGGGTGGTTGGGGATTACAGGCTTAAGAACACTGGCCCAGGGCTGGTAGTGGAGAGAGGAGCAGCAGAGGCTCCACATGCAGTGCTGTTCTCTCAGCTGTCTCCCCTTGTCTTGCAGCACTTCTGTGCTAATTATTGCTGCCAAAACAAAGGGACTCTCACTAACCAGAGCAGTCCCAGGTGTTTCCCTTAGCAAGTAGGCATCCTGGTCAGACACTTCAGGACTTCACAGACCCAAGTTTCGTATTTAACCTTCTTTTCAGTAGTCCAAGATGACTGCCTGCTTCTTCCTCCCTGAAGTGCAGCCAAGGAAGAAAGGTGTGATTTACAGCTGCTGTTTCCAATTAGGTTAATCTTTTCCCTAAATCTCTAATTATTTCATTTAATTTTGTATTGCAAAAAAAGTTAATTCAGCCCTAAAATGATATATCATAGAACTAGTTTGCCAAGTAGCTTGCTGAGGTTATTGGCATGGGGTTACAAAAGCCTGCTGGTAGCAATTTTTCTCTTTCTCTGTGTCTAGCTCAGCTCTAAATTCTAAATCAGCAGTCAAAGGAAATGTCATTGCCTGGCACATCGTTGCAAATGGAGTGGGGGTATTATCTATGACCGGCTACTGCAACCTCCTGTTTTCAGACTCTATTCTACAGCATGAAAGTCTGAATTATCCTGAGCTTTCACACAGTTTTAATGGCACTTTGTCAGAGCACACTCTGTGAGTCCTCTCAGAAAATAAATGTCACCAACTCAGTGAAACATTACAAAGATGATTCCAAAGTGCACACATTCAGGAACACTGCAACCCTTGACAGACCGAACAGGGACATTCACAGCAAAAAAAGGCAAGTATCTAAGTGCAGTACCTGAAGTAGAGGGCCAAATACATCAGCCTCAAAACAACAGTGAGATGGGCTGCAAAAACAACCAGTGCAGCCCAGGAACCAATCTAACACCCCAAAAATTCAGTGGGAGCCTCCCTGTAGATTGTAGTGGAAGTAGAAGCAAACTCTTATCTGTATATATTTACTTAACATTTTAAAATCAGAGAGCGTTAATCAGTAGCTCACAAGTCCATACTGACAACTACAGAGGCACCCATCTACATAAAATAAGATCATTATGTGGCCAGTAATGTTCTCACTTGTTATCATTTATCAGCTATTAACTGATTTCATTATTTAATGAGAGTCCAACATTCATTCACTATCAGATTCTGAGATTCCTTCCATTCCTACTTGGTGAGGTGACAGCAAAATTTAGAATCAGAATAAATCCAAATCACTCCATGAACTCAGTAGGAACAAGAACACCTGACAGGCTCTAGCAACCAAGGCTTCCTTTAATATTCATGCCTTAAGGTAGCAAGGATGTTGTTACACAGAAATCAGTCAAATGAATACTTCAGACAGCTATGAGTTAGAGAAGAAAGACCCCTTCGTCTTTGAGTTTTAAATCTTTTGGGATTTAAAAATATCCACTTTTTTTTTTTTTTTTTTTTTTAAAGGCCAGATATCTGCACCTCTACACATCTGTAGCATAGGTGACTGCTTAGCACCTGTAAAAATATTTCTCTAACAGGATGTCTGGAAAATGTTTACCAGCCTTCCTATAAATACTGGCTTTAATTATCTTAGTTTAATTATTGCACAAACCAAAAATACAAATAGAAAATCAGTAATCAATCATGAAGATTTTAGATTTTTTAAAAATCATGAAGATTTTAGATATTAAGAGATGTATTTTACATTTATCAAAAATTTTTGTAATAAGCAAACAGTATCCTCCCTACCAGAGTTAGTAAACGTTGTGTTCCCTCAGTGCTTTTTTTTTTTTTTTTTTTTTTTTTGAGGGCAACATCTCCATGCATTTCCCCATTTCTTTATACAAACACACTTCCTACATAATATATTCTACTGTGCTGTGTATCAGTGCTAAACAGGCAATGAGGAAGGAGACAGAAGACTTAGACACTGCCCCAACGTCTACCTTGTCTAAGGAGCAGAGAGCAGATCACTCACCATCACAAAACACAAGTCACACAACAAATTAGTCATCAGACCCACCACTACAGCTCAGGCTTTTCTGGTTGTTCTTGGGGTTACTCTGGTTCTGTGCTATAGATTAGAGGACCAGCCTTGTTAGTATCATACAGGCAGTCAAAGAGAATCATCCTTCTTCCCAGAGTCTTTCTTCTCTCTAGTATTAGCACAGATAATCACCAATTTCTACAAAAAAACCCCAGGTGCTACCATGAGAACTGATGCAGTCATTCCTTTCAGTCTGACACATCCTGAAAGGACAGGGCCGACTAGAAAGATTGGCTAACAAAGCTTAAAAACAGTGGAATATATATTGAAAAGGAAGATAGGGAGGGTTTTTGCCAAGGCATGTATTATTCATTGATCCCGATCACATTGTGCCAAAGCTTCCACCCCTACTCTCCACTAACTTACAATGAGCTGGAAGAGCTGAAACCGGAAACAAAGGCTCTGATGGGAATTCTGTCTGAGGCAGTTTGGGGGTTGGCCGAGCACGTTTGCTTCATTGCACTTCTAGATCATTAACTTACTTGCTTGTAGCTCTCACTTTCAGACTCACTGCACACAGCAATTTTGGCTTCCATACATTTTCTTATCACTCACTGGCTCATCAAGAGTCTTCATAACAAGCTGTAACACAAGACTTGGAAACTCACTGGCTAAACGGCTTGACAAAAGGGGATTCTGTGTCACTGACACATGTGCCAGAGAAAAAGGAGGCCAAGAGCTGATGCTCCTCACTCTCACTGAAAACAGTGAACCTGAACTTAGCTGACTCCAACAGCATTGCCAGGTCTGTGGTGTTTGTGACCAAAGAGGCAGCTGGCAAGGGTAAGTAGCAAGGTAATTTCCCAGAAAAATGATTCAATATAACCAAATCTTGTCTAGCTAGAAATTCCGGTGCCTCTCTACAGAGGCAGGTTTTGTCTTACTGATGAAATGTACTCACTCTTCAGTTCTGTCCTTTCTCAGTTCAGAGAGATTCCTCCAGCATTGCTTCTGGGCTTGCACTTGCTTTCACCAACAGGGATGCTCAGTCTATTAAAACCAGATCATTCCCAGGTGTGTTTTTCAGATTAATTTTTTTTTTTTTTTTTTTTTTTTTTTTTTTTTTTTTTTTTTTTTTTTTTTTTTTTTTTTTTTGTCCAGTCAAAGAATCTTAGTGGGGGGAAGGCACTAACTGGTACCAGAAAGACCTTTCTTGACAATAAAACCTGCCCATCCAATTAAAAATGGCTGGTGCAGGACTTCTTCAGTCTGCCTCTAGTAAGCAGAAGAGTGGTTTTGCATGGCTGAGTAATTCTGACTTTTGCAATGCACACAACAACAATTGCACTGACTGTAACAGTTAACACTTGCCATTTCAGCCATTTTTCTTAGAGTTATTATATAGGTAGCTCCTATTACTGCTATCATACACTTCTGAGCATTTGGCCAAAAGAGGAAGAGTTTTTCCTTGGATACCTATGAGTGGAGTTAAAAAACAAGACTTAAATGATGGTTTTGGCAACAGTGATGAAAAGATCTGCATGGTGAATAATATTCAACTGTGACAATACAGGTTTTTTTCTCAGAACCAATAGCTCAGACTAGACATTGTTGAGGGCCACCAAAGGGGACCACAGCACTGCAACTACCAGCTGTAACACACAGTCATACCAAATACTCAGTAAGCTTGTTAATTAATTAACTAGCTAAAACAGCAAAACACCTATCTTCTACCAGCAGGACTTCCTCCTCAAAGCTCGGAAAACACATCCTGAGGGTTCCAGACCATTCCTGGATGCAGAGATTGAGGGCGGGGGCAACATATTTATTATCACTTACCTCCTCCAGCAGGCCCCTGCTTCCAGCTTGTGAAAAGCCGCACGTTCTTGGCCAGGGTAACCACTGCTAATGCTGTCACCCCAGCCTGAGAAACTTTATAGAGGCTGAGTGCTGGACTTTCAGCCTCTACCTTCAGGTGCAAGCTGTCCTCAGCAAACTCTTGAAAGTGTCACTATTTATCTAAAGGTCCTCAAGTAGTTTATAAGGTAGTAAATCAGTGTTATCAATACACAGGGTTAAGCTAATATTTTTAGAAGCACAGACTAATTCTGTATGTGTGGTTCAGACCTTTAGACCGCAACCCAGAAAAATCAGTCTCTCCACTTCTATGTAGACTATCTGATTTTCACAAGAATGTAAATGCATACTAGGAGCCCACATACTTGAGCAGATCTGAATAATAAAGCCCTGTATGGTGACCCATATTTCCAACTGAAATACTTTTCCTTTAACACTTTACCCATGCTCTTTTAGAGTCATTGCCTAAGGCCTTCAGCAAATTTTTCCAGGTGTGCAGGGTAGATCATACAAGGAAACCCCAGACAACTGCATTCATCTCACTGAAGCTTTTGAAAACTGTGTACTTGGTTCCCAATGCTATAAAACTCTATGTAACCATATGAACCTCTAGGGTAAGATGTTGACACATACCAAAATAAATTATTTTGTAATCCTCTTAGGGCTTTTTGGCTTGATGAGCAATGCTGAAGGAACAATACCTATAGTACCCACTGGCTGGCTGAGAATTGAAGACTTCCACTCAGTGCTGGATTTTAGACCCCTGGAATTGATCAAAATCACACTCAATCTTCTGCCACTTCTGAGGAAAGCTAAGGGAAGAGGAGTCAATCTAATTAATACCAAACCCCTCATGGCTTTTGTAGGGGGTGGCTACAGACTGTCCAAATGGGGCACGGAAGCTTTCTCTGACACCTTACAGTGAGTAGCTAGAAATACATGCATGAATCCAAGAACAGATTCCAGATGTGCTGAGGAAGGGTGACTGCTCCTCTCATTTTCTCTCTGAAAATCTTGCCTAAAGGGGGAAAGGAAAATAAGAGGATGTTGGTCACTTGTTTAGGATTTCAATTGCCAGTACTATGAACAGACCCACCAGGAAACTGCACTCGGAAAAATATTCATGTCCTGGACAAATGGCTACCATGAAGCTTTCAGGAACGTGAATCCACCACGTACATTAAAGTAAATCAACAGTATAGCCTGGTCAGACTCTCAGAGTTTCCTGGGCAAGTTGTACCTCGTTGTACTTGCCCATTTACAACCCATTTTATTTTGCTCTAATGCTGGAGAACAATCTGAGCTGGAGGATTCCAGGCAGCAACCACATTACCAGAGATACTCATAAGTTCACAAAATTAAGCCGAGCACCCTTCACTGTGTTGTAATGCCTTGAGAAGGCTAAAGCCTAGCCCAGTAAGTCAAGTTTTCAAAAGGACTAGGAAAGTTGGTTGCAAACCATTACGAATGCTTATATAAAGTATATGCCCTGAGGAAATACAATAGAGACTAATAGTTAATGTACACATGGTGCATTTCTTTGCATGCTTTGGAATGTAGCTGCCTGGGTCTCTCGAGCTGTGACAAAGAGGCCATTTTCATCCCAAAAGGAGTTGTACTGCAACTCAAAATTATACTGAGGGAACCACATCACCAGAAAACACGCTTACCTTTATTGCACTAACATTTATTCACTTAACCATAGCCATTTAACCATATGATGGAGAATAAAGTTGTAATCCAATTGAAAACTTTTGCTTACTTCTACTTTTTCCCAGGAACTTTAATAATCTGTTCCTGCTGGAAGCTGAAATGGTGCAACAGTATTTGAAATAGTCAAAAGTTTTAGTTTGATAATACATGGCTAAGATGCAGTTGGCTGTTGCATCCTTTGCATCAGTCCAACATAAACCACACAGAAAACTGTGAATCTGCCTGACACTGCTTTTTTTTTTTTTTTTTTTTTTTTTTTTTTTTTTTTTCTCCAGAGTTGTCTGCTGTGCTTTTACAGGACAGGCACACTGCTATGAAGCTAATTTGAATATCTCAAAATTATTCTAAACATTCAAAGATCAGAATCAAAGTCTCAAATATTATGTGACAGACTTCCAACTTACTTATGTTTAATAGTTATGCCGTCATTGGAGGGGTCAGGTATGTTTAGTGTATTTTTTTTCTTCTAGGATAGAGGTGCAGCATTTTGGAGTAAAAGTAAGCATTATCAAGCATGATTTCCTTAATGCAAGAGTACTTAATTCAGATGTCATCGAGAAATAACTCTTAAGACTTTGGAAGAGACTGATTCCTGAGATCAGGGACTCTTAGGGAAAAAAATACTTTTTTGAATGTAAGTGGAAAAAGGACTGTATGAAAGCTCAAGGGGAGTATTATAAATGTATATAAAAACCTGATGTAAGTGGGGCTGTAAAGACAACAGAGCCCAGTGGTGCCCAGGGACAGCACTCAAACCAACGGGCACACACTGAAATACAGGATGTTCTTGCTGAACACCAGGAAACACATTTTTACTGTGAGGGTGACTAAGCACTGGCACAGGTTGCCCAGGGAGGGTGTGAAGTCTCCATCCTTGGAGATATTCATGCATGGTCTGGACATGGCCCTGGGCAACCTGGTCTAGGTGACCCACCTTGAGAAGGCAGGGTTGGACTAGAGGTCCCTTCCTACCAATCTGTGATTCTGTGAACGTTTGCTGGACCTCATTAACATTCATTAAGAACCCATTGCTGACTGTTCTGGACTATGTGTATGTTAGATGAGGCCTGTGCTATTAGTTCCCATATGAGATTGGTGAGATGTGATGTGACTACCATCCCTAGTCCCTCCATACTTAGAGGTAAAATGACCAGGAGGAATGAATTGCTATGACCATATGCTTACTGATATCTGAAAAGTTGTGCTATGTGACACTGAACTTACTGTAGGGAACATCTGGCTGAGAATATGGGATATTTCTGTTTACTGGGCTTTTGAGTGTTCTGCAGCCTTTCTGGTCTCGACTCTGCTGTAGTTATACTGCTCTCAGTACTTGCACCACTAGTTTAAAGCAAGCCTGAAGCTGTAGACAAACCTTTGGGTATAAAAAAGCCTTTCACAGATAATGTTGTATGTAAATTATTTCAGGTTTATATTCTTTGTTGCAGATATAAAAGCTCAAAGATCAATAGTGAACAGACTGTGTGACACTGATATTTCTAAGGTCATAAAATGCACGGAACATGCCCTGATAGCAAAGTACCCCAGGACATGATACAGAGCTGGATGGGATGCAAAGTTCTTTCGGCTGTTTGTCTCCTATGCCCCAAGCTGTTTATCTGACATGCAGCTGTGTATGACATTCCCAGCTCCAGCAACTAGTGGGAGATCAGTTCCTGGAGTTCTAATTAACATTTAGTATTAAACCAGTATATTGTTTGTGGAAATAAATATTAATTCTGTCAAAACCAGACACCCTCCTCTTTACTAGGTACTAGACTGCTTAAACTCCTTTCAGAAGACACTTTCTCCACCCCTCCTTACCTGAGATTTCTCAATTTGCAGATAGGCTTGTAAATCCAGCATGTTTTTGAAGGTCATTTTGTATGCTCACAAATGATACCTCTATAGAATGTTCATTCATAAAATATTCAGCTACAAAGCTAGTTAATACTACTCACCCAATAAAAAAATTTTAAATAAGAAAATTAAAATAACTAAAAGGACAGTTTTTCAAGTAATGGGCTTCTAGTGAACTTGAAATAAAACAGTGGCCTTTCAGAACATGTATCTTACACATGCACCTTACAGAATGTATTTAGTCATCTATTCCATGGGCAGTTTGCTCATGGTCACATTCAGGAGTTGCTAAACTTCAGGAGTTTCTGCAGTATTTGACCACATCTAATCACCTGACTATTTAACAGTGTAGAGAAAAAACACCAGCTATTTTACGGATACAATTGCAGGGAAAATCAAAACTACATTGTACTTTGTTACTACACAAACAGAGTATCCCAACTTACATTTTAACTTTTTTTTTTTTAGTATAGTTTATTAGGCAAGTATTAAAAATAATATCCATTCACATTTCGTTCATTCTCAGTGTGCTTTGCAAGTTAAAAGGATGATTACTTCACTCATTAGATGAAACAGGTCATTAGCATGGCAAATTACTTCGACTGGATGAAGAGTGTGTTCAGAATGGCAGTTAGCTGACGTTACTGTGCCTCTTGTACACTATTTCTATCTGTTAAGCTGTTGGCCAGAGGCTCACAAACAGCGTTCCTAGCAATATTAGAACTGAAGGGGTAAAGGTTTTACTTGCTAAAGAGCTGTGCTGGTGATTAATCATTAATGTGCTTAAAAAAATACCATGTGCAGGTCAGAACTCCAAATGTAAGAAAAGGAGTTTCATCACTCTGTGTGTGTGAGAGGGGGCATGTGTGTGTGTGTTTATACATGAGCAAGAAAGAGACAGAATGTGTTTAGTAACCTTTAAGTATTTCATTGAGGTTCTATTCTCTGGAAAATGGCTTCAAGAATAAATTTATTTTACCTCATCTCATGAAAAATACCTACAGAGGAATAGTTCTCCCTCCCTGGCCTGGCAGCTGTAAAGAGAATGTACATGGAAAAACTTAATGGTATAATGTATTAGCCCTATAGTGGCAGATTACAGATATGTGCCAAAATCTCTAAAAGACAGCCTTTTTTGAAACAGAATGAGTCCAGAATTCAATAATCCAAGCAGGGACTGTCCTCATAAGGGAAAAAGAGTACAAGTAAAAAACTAAGTTAGGAACAGAATCTAAAGCTTCTGTTGAACAAAGTACCAAAATTAATTTTACGTACTCAGAAAGGTACATTGTGGTTTGCTACTTGGAGGAAGAGGCCCCGCTGAAGCTTAGAAATCCTTCACCATAAAGTATGTTAAACAATCCCAGGGATGGTTTTCTTCCACATCTGAACAGTTAAAATCATTATAGGGGGAAAAAACCAGAAGTATCTCCTAGGCAGCTGACATATTAGCAGTTTACTCTAAAACTGCCAAAGCTTTCTGTTGACAAAGACTATTCACAAAACTGATGCTACTTGTTCTTGTGGTATGCAACTGGAGGCGGGTCTTGTGGAAATATTAGTCTTGCCTTCTCTAAAAAATGTTGTGAACTCTTTCCTTAAGAACAGCAACCTGCCTTTAAAAGAAATCCTTTCTCATAGCCTTACAGATGTGTATGCTGTGTCCCAGATTCTAAGGAATTTTCTACATTAAAGCACTCATATATGAAAGTTCACTAAACTAAGGTTTTAATTACTTATGTCCATACTACCTTGACAGTCAGTCTCTTACAACCAATAATAAGTTTCCTGTTTCAAGGGCTAGTTTAAGTGGTGTAATGGGGCATTTTTCACATTTACAGTGATACAATGGCAGTACTGTTATATCAAGAACTTTAGTTTATCTAAAGTAGTTGTTTTAATCTCAGAGTGCACTGAAGCCTCCACAACTGCAAAAAGTACATAGAGCCTTGACACAGATTATGGAATAAAGATGTGATAAAATAATACATTTATTAGATTTATTCAGCAGCATCATCTTCCAGTTGTCTTTTCTAATCAAAGTACGTTACAAAGTAATTATAAGCATTCTAATTAGAAACAGTATACATTTTGAGAACTCAGATATAAAACAATCAAATAGCAGAAGTCTCAGTGATTATAACTCTAGGAATCTTTAAATTATCTGAGTAGCTGGCCAGGAATGCTGAATAACATGTTCCTGCAGTGCTACTCAGTTTCCTCAAATGGTTCATGTTGTGGAAACTACCTTGGCTAATTAATAGAAAAGCTAATAAGATATACAGTATATTCTGATGGAAGGTTACAGAAATAACCAGATAACTACAAAGCCTGCATTAGTAGAAATTGTTTCCCTTTCTATTAATGTCCACCTCAGGAAATAAATAGTCAATAAAATTAAATTTTCACATTAAAAAACCTGAATAATTTCTTAAATGAACCAATATCTTCCATATTTCACTGTTTGGAAATAAGCTGTTACAGAAATCTAGCTACTTCATTTAATAGTACAAATTACTTCCAGAGACTCCAGCCAAAAACACAGCTATTCCATTGATGAGCAAGAGAAAAATCTCATTAAATTAAGTACTCTTGGCACTAAAATCTAAATACATCAGATCTTTTTAAGAACACTATTAATGGAATAGTGTTAATTGGAACCAAGTGGAAAAGTATGTGTCTTATGGATTGAGAGAAAATTACTTTATCTCAGGCAGTTACAATATTGGAAGAACATTTTGCACAGGTAACTATTCAGCATAATGATGTCGCATTGACTCGTCCATATTTTGTTTAACACAAGATAGACACCCATTTTTACATACAGTAGTATATAAAATAGGTGGTAAAGATGCCCAATGCACCAATAGAAGTTTTAAAAAGGTGCTGTTATAAATATATACTCTTGAGATCCTGTAAATCAGTAATGTTCCTATATTTGCCTTATTTGGTTCTTTTTTTAGTTTAAGCATTTATATACTGAATTTGTTCCTAAAGATGCAACCAATTCCATACAGATTCCTACTAGTAACATCACCAAACAAGATAATCTTTCAAAAATTTACAAATATACAATATATTTATAACATTACTTTCAGACAGCTTCAGTGCAAAGATATACATATAGTACATCATGATAATTGTTCATAAAAATAGAAATTGGCATTTGTCAAAAAACAAGGCATAGTTTCAACATACATCTCCAGCCACTGGCTAGGACATGTACATATTTTTATAAAGCATTTGAATGTGAACCTTACTCTTCTGTTTATAAAAAATATATGTGCAAATGGATGTGTCTAATTTTCCCTAAATCAGTTAGCTAGTTATACCACAGAGTCCTCTTTAACAAGATTGGCGGTGTCTTTAAATGTATCCTCTGTTGCTGTATAAGCTAATGGTTGGTCTCTCTTCAGAGTAATCTTGGGAGGCAGTGAAGGAGAAGGAGTAGGGACATTTTCTGTGTCCTGTTGCTGTTCTTTTTCCATCTGAAACAACAATCATAAAATCCAAGTTTACATTCTAATGTACAAAACACCCAACCTTAACTTTCAGTAATGTTAAATTAATTCAAGTGTCATGTTATTTCTGCAAATCATCACCTGTTACAAAATTAAATACTAATTTAACCTGAGATGGTACAGCTCCACACATTGGCACTTCTATTGTAATTCTTCATGTCAGGAGTAGCTTGATATGTCTATATGCACAGATATGAATGTAGATAGCATTGGCACTACTATGTTTGTAGTTACATCCATTAGTGTTGGGGAAAAGAACCTCTGCCTTCCTGAACTCTCTCTCACCTTGTTCAAGCATTAGAAACCTAAATTCTTCACAAAAGGCAGCTAGTATCAGGTTAAGTCAGCTAGACCATCTGGAAATTTTAAACTGTAAGATGAAAAGGGCTGGAATTACTGGCTCAAGTCAGCAGAACTCTAAACCTTCATATCCAAGCCAGGGGACAATTCCTCCAGCACACATACTACCCGCTGGCACAACATCTTAAAAGAACTGTCTCATCCAGATGTATGGATGAGAAAAACAGGGCTGGTATAGAAACAGGGCTGCAGTACCTAGAGCTATTCTAGCTATAGAAAGAGAATTTCTCTGCAGTGCTGAATCCAAGACTAAGAGGGCAGAAATAGACATTTCACTTCTAGTGCAGTACAATAGCCTCCCACTTGCGCTGGGTCCCTGAGCTGTTCCAGAATGCACCGGCTAGATGAAACCACCACCTGAGATGCAGAGCAGGAGTGGGCCACAGTGCTTTAGCTGGGAAAGCAGAGATGTGGGCAATGCAGCCGTGCTGCCAAAGCTGGATGCCTGCTGAACATCTCATTCTGCACAAGACTTTATAACATTTCTCAAAAGCATTTCAGTTCTGAAACTGGGGCTGGAATTTCAGGGCTGGAATTTCTTTGCTGCTTCACTTAGCAGCAGAATCCACTCATAATCTTTATCATATGAAAGCAAGAACAAAGTCCAGCAGAATATTAGCTGAAAAATAGAATTATACAATATTAAGCAATACCTCCGCATATATTGGGTTTTCAAAATTAGTGTTTTGTTTCATTTTTCTCTTGAAGAAACTCCACTTGGATTCCTGAAACATAAAGATTAATAGAACTTTACACAGGTTTTTTTACAACTTCTCTGGAAACTAACATCACTGTTGGATTTCACTTGCACCTTCTTTACTGCTAGATAACCAGTTATGGTTCTTTTACCTAAAGCAGTATTCCATGAGTCTAGACCAGAAGGCAATAAAAGTGACTACATTAATTCATAGAAGCCTATCATGCCAGACAAATAGGTCAAAGAGGAAAAAATTGTCTTGAAAACACCACAGGAGAAATTACTGAGAGACATGAAACTACAACAGGTTGACAGAGCTGTCATTTCAAAGCTTATCAGAGGCACTTTTTAGTGCACAATGTGTGAAAATAGTCCTGTAAACAAGCCACT